CAACATGGCTGCAGAGTGCCTGTTGTCCTCATGGCAAGAGTTAGTTGGACATTTCTACTGCTACACATTCTGCCTGTAACCATGTTTTTTTACATGCAGAGCGGTTCAAAAGATTTGGCTTCTGAGACGTTGCTGTTTGCAATCACAACCTACTGGCAATGGCCTCCACCCTAAGAACCTCTGGCAATGGCCATACTACTAGGAACAAGAAGCTACTAGGAGCGCTACTAGGAGCAAGGACGCTACTAGGGGCTCCTGACCATCAGTCTTGGGGTCGAGGCACGAAGTCAACCTGTCCAGGTCCAGAGCTGACCCCAGAACAAGAGGAGGCCCTCAAGAAGTGCCATGCCTGCAGGGTCCAACGTGGCTAACAGACACCGGAGATGATACCTGAGCAGACATCGATGAGGCTTCAACTGCCCTCAATTTTTTCCAATAGCTTCTTGTTCCTAGTAGTAAGGCACTTGTTACTAGTAGCTTCTTGTCACTAGTAGTAAGGATGCTCCAAGTAGTACGGCCAGTAGCCCCTAGTAGCTTCTTGTCAGGGCAAAGGTCACTTTGGTAAATTTGGTGTTGGTAAATGCATTGGTAGACTTCCTGAAATTCGGTAAACCCAGTAAATCGATGTAAATTGGAAAAACCGGTAAATCAGATAATTTGGTAAACTTACAATTTTACCCCTTTTATTCCGCGCAGTGGTGTCCTACTGTGCATCAAGAATAGCAAACAGCCAGCAAATACAACAGATCAGCATGCACATGTACATTTCCCTCTAATCAAGGCTGTGTGCAAAACGCTACAAACAAGGAAACAGCGTATTTTTGCCAGCAAAGACCGGCCGGCCCACATGCTGTTCGTTTCACACGCGCACGTGGATTCGCAAAAACAGAGCACCAAAATGCATCCGTGCATCACTCAACCTATGTGTTTTCAGCTTTGCTCGACTTGGATTCAGGGCATTGTTAAGCCTACCTACAACTTGATGAATTCTGTGCACCTTCTCATAAAGAGATTGATTTTTGGATCTTAACCAAAGACAGACAGACACTTGGTTTGAACCGCTTTGGCTCTACGGTGGACGACTCAAGATTGGTCGCATTGTTTTCTTTCTGTGTCATGTGAGACTTTTCTCACTCCATGAGTTTGGCTGACCTTCGGAACATCGCTAAATTTTGTTTTACGATTTTACTTTTCGCTTCTGTCACCTCGGAATTTTACCATATTACCGTTTTACCCTTTTACCCCGCTCTTGTGTGCTCGAAAGTTTTACCGTGTTACCGTTTTACCGTTTCACCGCGGGCCTTTGCAACGGAAACTCCGTAACCAGAAGACACACTGCGAGCCAGCACAGGTCAAGCATGAGAGCTTATGCAAGGAAAAATGAAAGGATTGGTAGATGTCTAGAGATCAGAGATAAGAAGGACAAGTAGCAAGAAGCTACTAGGGGCTCCTGGCATCGCTACTGGGAGCAAGAATGCTAATAGGGGCTTCTGGCCTTACTACTAGGAGCAAGAAGCTACTAGGAACTAGAACGCAAGAGCCGAGGATCCAAGCTGCTCAGCGGGGCCTCGAGCTCCGTAAGGCCGACGCTGAGACCGCCGAGACCGCCGAGACGAAGCTGACGCCGCAGCTGCCCACGGCCCCACCGCCGGGCGAAGAAAACGCTCGAGGCTCCGGTGAGTCCGACCATGTCCGACACGGAGCGTGTTCAGTCCAAAGGGCATCGCTACTAGCAAGGACGCTACCAGGGGCTCCTGGCCTTACTACTAGCAACGACGCTATTAAAAGGTGGAGGCACAGGTGCGTCCTTTGCTCCTAGTAGCGATGCCAGGAGCCCCTAGTAGCGTTCTTGTTCCTTGTAGTAAGGCCTGGAGGCCTTCTTGCTACTAGTACTGCCCTGGTTACTAGGGATGCCCTTGTTACTAGGCTTCTTGCTACTCAGGCCAAGCTCCCTCCGCCCGATCTCGACTTCAGGCCTGCGGCGCCGGCAGAAGCGGCAGCTCCTCCGAAAAGCAAGGATGCCGCCTGGACAGATCCAGTGACAAGCTTCATGAACTTCACAAGGTTCAACTGAAAGGCAGTGCCCTCAATATTCCATGTTCATTTATGCACTTCTCCGTCGAGGTATCGCTTGTCCTATGACTTCCAGAAGAAGAAACTCATTGTGCGGCACTTAGGAACGACCCAAGAATCAAGCGAAGCAAGTTGTATGCTAGCAACAAGGGCAGTACTACTGGTAGCAAGAAGCTACTAGGGGCTCCTGGCATCGCTACTAGGAGCAAGGACGCTACTAGGGCTCCTGGCCTTACTACTAGGAACAAGAAGCTACTAGGGACTCCAAGCGAAGCAAGGTGCATGCTAAGTGGCGGGGTTCCGTAGCTTCTTGTTCCTAGTAGTATGGCCAGGAGCCCCTAGTAGCGTCCTTGTTGCTAGTAGCGATGCCCTTGCTACTAAGAGGCAACGTTCTATTGCCCAAACCAAGTCCCTGGGACAATGGAGTAGCTGTAGCCAGGAAGGATCATTTTGCATAGGATCTCTTAGATGTTGTTTCCATTGGTGGAGGACAGGGAAGAATGATGGTTATTGGTCATTCCTTCCGAAAGGTGAAAGGTGAAAAGCTGCGTTTCTTCGACCTTTCTATTGCCCAATTGCTTCGGCACATCCCAAGGATCCTCTAACGTGAGCCGCGTGAGATGAGAACCTCTGACGTGAGTCCCGTTCCGCAAACGTTCCTGTTGCTTCGGTGGACAAAAAAGAAGTTTCAATTTCCAAAGATGAAGTCTGCCCAGGTGAGTCCACCCTAGTAGCTTCTTGTTCCTAGTAGTGAGGCCAGAAGCCCCTAGTAGCTTCTTGTTCCTAGTAGTAAGGCCAGAAGCCCCTAGTAGCTTCTTGTTCCTAGTAGTAAGGCCAGGAGCCCCTA